CCAGAGGGTGTTGGAGGGGGTTTGGAGTGCTGGGGAGGGGAGTAGGGTGGGATTTGGGGTCCTCAGAGGGGGTTGGAGGGGGTTTGGGGTGCTGGAGAGGGGAGCAGGGTGGGGTTTGGGGTCCTCAGAGGGCGTGGGAGGGGAGCAGGGTGGGATTTGGGGTCCTCAGATGGGGTGGGAGGGGAGCAGGGTGGGATTTGGGGTCCTCAGAGGGTGTTGGAGGGGGTTTGGGGTGCTGGGGAGGGGAGCAGGGTGGGATTTGGGGTCCTCAGAGGGGGTTAGAGGGGGTTTGGGGTGCTGGGTGGGATTTGGGGTAGAGGGGGTTGGGAGGGGAGCAGAGTGGGATTTTGGGGGTACTCTGTGGGTTTCTGGGATGATTTTGGGGGTCTCTTGGGGTGAATTTGGGTGTCTCTGGGGGTCCCTGGGGTGAATCTGGGGGTTCCTGGGGGGTCTCTGGGGTGATTTTGGGTGACTCTGGGTGTCTCTGGGGTGATTTTGGGTGTCTTTGGGGTGACTCTGGGTGTGTTTCGGGTGATTTGTGTGTCTCTGGACATCTCTGGGGTGACTCTGGGTGTCTCTGGGGGGACTCTGGGGGTTTCTGGGGCGTCTTTGGGGGTCTCTGGGGTGACTCTGGGGGTTTCTGGGGTGATTTTAGGGGTCTCTGGGGTGATTTTAGGGGTCTCTGGGGTGACTCTGGGTGTCTCTGGGGTGATTTTGTGTGTCTCTGGGGGTCTCTGTGTGTCTCTGGGGTGACTCCGGGGGTCTCTGTGTGTCTCTGGGGTGACTCTGGGGGTCTCTGTGGGTCTCTGTGTGTCTCTGGAGTGACCCCCCCCGCTGTCCCCGTTGTCCCTCCAGCTGTCGATCCGCTGCGGGAACCATCGGTTCAAGGTGTTCGTCGAGGGGCAGCCGCTCTTCGATTTCCACCACCGGGCGCCCGCCGGGCCCCACGTGGACGTGCTGGAGATCGAGGGCGATGTCGTCCTGTCCTATGTCCATTTCTGACCCACAAGTGTCCTGTCACTGCCCCATAACTGCCCTGTAATTGCCCCATAACTGCCCCGTAATTGCCCCCCATAACTGTCCCCCAGCTGCCCTCTCCCAACACTGACCTCAATAAAGCTGTTCCTGCTCCAGCTCCGGAGACTTGAGGGGGAAACGGGCAGGGAAAGTGAGGGGAAAAGGGAGAGAAATGTGAGGGGAAAAAGGGCAGGAAATGTGAGGGGAAAAGGGGGGAAATGTGAGGGAAAAAGAGAGGGAAATGTGAGGGGGAAAGGGAGAGAAATGTGAGGGGGGAAGGGAGAGAAATGTGAGGGGGAAAGAAATGTGAGGGGAGAAGGGAGGGAAATGTGAGGGGGAAAGGGAGAGAAATGTGAGGGGGAAAGAGAAAGAAATGTGAGGGGAGAATGGAGGGAAATGTGAGGGGGAAAGAGAGAAGTGTGAGGGGGAAAAGGGCAGGAAATGTGAGGGGAGAAGAGAGAGAAACGTGAGAGGAAAAGAGAGGGAAATATGAAGGGAGAAAAGGGTGGGAATCGTGAGGGGAGAAAAGGGCGGGAATCGTGAAAAGGAAGAGAGAAATGTGAGGAGAAAAAGGGCGGGAATCGTGAGGGGAGAAGAGAGAGAAGTGTGAGGGGAAAATGGGGGAAAACGTGAGGGGAGAAGAGAGAAATGTGAGGGGAAAAGGGGGAAAATGTGAGGGGAAAAAAGAGAGAAATGTGCAGGGAAAAAAGGCAGGAAATGTGAGGGGAACAAAGAGGGAAATGTGAGGGGAAAAGGGGGGAAAATGTAGGGGAGATGGAGGGAAAATGTGAGGGGGAAAAATGGCATGAAATTTGAAGGGAAAAGGGGAAATGTGAGGGGAAAAGAGAGGGAAAAATGAGGGGAAAAAGGCCGGGAAATGTGAGGGGAAAACCGGCAGGAAATGTGAGGGGAACAAAGAGGGAAACATGAGGGGAAAAGAGCGGAAGAAAACACAGAAAATGCGAATGAAAAAAGAAAACAAGTGAGGGGAAAAGGGTGGGAAAGGAGAGAGAAAAAAGGATGGGGAACACGGGGCAAAACTCCCAAAACAACTTAAGGACCTTGCACTCACATTTTACCCCAAAAATATTCTTTGCATCCCTTATAGATCACTCCAATTTTACCCCCAAAACGTCCCTTCCCAACAACCTCATTTTTACCTCAAAATCATTTTCTCCCCTCAAGATTACCTCGTTGGCTATACTTGGGGAAAAAGTGAGGAAAAACTCCAAGATCCCAGAGGTTTTTTTGTTTTTTTTCCAGCAATATTTTAATTACAGGACAAAGAAGCTGCTACGTGAATATATATTTATATAATAAATCCGTAAAGTTATAAAGGAAACCGGAATTTTCTGCTTCCCGTCAAAATTTTCCAGGATCAGGCGCTTTATTAGGTGGATTTCTCATAATTTTCCTCCTTGTTTCTCTTGATTTTTTTATGCTTTTTTTTCCAAAGTTCTCCTTATTTCTCTCTTTATTTTTGTCCTTACTCTTTATTTATCATTATTTTCCCATATTTTTCCGTATTCCTCCAGATTTCTCCATGATTTTCCTCATTCCTAATTTTTCCACATTTTTCATTTCTCCTAAATTTTTTTCCTAATTTTCCATGTCTCCACACATTTTTCTCCACATTTTCCCTCCTAATTTTTGCCTCATTCCTTCCTCGCCTTTTTTCCCCTATTCCCCCCTATTTCCCCCCATTTTTTTTTGGTCCACAAAACGCTGCTCCGAGGTGGGAATGTGAGTGAAAAACCTAAAAAAAAACCCCCCCAAAAACCCCGGATTTTTTTTCCCCTCTGGAAAAAAGCCATAAATTACGTGAGAAGGGGGGAACCGTGAGGGGAGAGGGAACCCTCGGGCGGCGCCGCTGATCCCGTGGAAAATATTGGGAATTTTTCTCTCTTTCTCTCTCTGTGTCTCGTTACCAAAAATAACCATTTCCGGGCACGGGGGGCGGAGCCCGAGGAAAAGTGGGAATTGCATCCCGAAGTATCCCAAGATCAATCAACTGTTGCATAGTAGGAGGCGGGGTTTTTTGGGATCCGGGATCCTGGGGGATCCTGGGGGACCCTCGGGGATCCTGGGGGGTCCGGGAGGATCCTGGGGAACCCTCAGAGATCCAGGATCCTCATGGATCCTGGGGGACCATCAAGAATCCAGGATGCTCAGGGATCCTGAGGGACCCTCAGGGATCTGGGACCACCAGGGATCCAGGATCCTCAGGGATCCTGGGGGGCCCCTCGGGGATCCGGGACCATCAGGGATCCAGGATCCTCAGGGATCCTGGGGGGCCCCTCGGGGATCCGGGACCATCAGGGATCCAGGATCCTCAGGGATCCTGGGGGGCCCCTCGGGGATCCGGGACCATCAGGGATCCAGGATCCTCAGGGATCCTGGGGGGCCCCTCGGGGATCCGGGACCATCAGGGATCCAGGATCCTCAGGGATCCTGGGGGGCCCCTCGGGGATCCGGGACCATCAGGGATCCAGGATCCTCAGGGATCTGGGGGGACCCTCAGGGATCTGGGACCACCAGGGATCCGGGATCCTCAGGGATCCTGGGGGACCCTTGGTGATCCAGGACCGTCGGGGACCGTCGGGATCCAGGATCCTTGGGGATCCCGGGGGATATCTGGGACCACCAGGGATCCAGGATCCTCAGGGATCCTGGGGGACCCCCAGGGATCTGGGGCCATCAGGGATCCAGGATGCTCAGGGATCCTCATGGATCCTGGGGGACCATCAAGAATCCAGGATGCTCAGGGATCCTGAGGGACCCTCAGGGATCTGGGACCATCAGGGATCCAGGATCCTTGGGGATCCTGGGGGACCCTCAGGGATCCAGGATCCTCAGGGATCCTGGGGGACCCTCGGGGATCTGGGACCATCAGGGATCCTGGGGGACCCTCAGGGATCCTGGGGGACCCTTGGGGATCTGGGATCCTCAGGGATCCTCAGGGATCCGGGACCATCAGGGATCCGGGATCCTGGGGGACCCTTGGTGATCCGGGACCGTCGGGATCCAGGATCCTCGGGGATCCCGGGGGATCCGGGGGGCCCCGGGGGGCCGCTCAGAGGTCGCTCTCGCCGTACAGCGCCGTGGAGAAGGATTTGTAGTCCAGGGCGCCGGGGACGCCGTCGGGGCCGGGGTAGGGCGCCATGCGGGCGATGCAGTACTCGGCCTGCGCCGCCGGCAGCTCCCGCCGCAGCTCGGCCGCCGTGATGTAGTTCTGGGGGACAGGGGAGGGGGCACGGGGGGGAAATGGGGGCTTCCCAAACCCCCTGCCCCATTCCCAAACCCTCTGCCCCATTCCAAACCCCCTGCCCCGTTCCCAAACCCCCTGCCCCCTTCCCAAGCCCCCCAGGGCCGCCCCGGCCCCCGCCGTGCCCACCTTGTCCCCGGCCAGCACGCGGAAGCTGTTGATGACCTGCTCGGCCGTGTCCGTGTCCGTGGTTTCCCGGGACATGAAGTCGATGAAGGCCTGGAAGGTGACGCTGCCGCTGCCGTTGGGATCCACCACGGCCATGATCCGCTGGAACTCCGCGTCGCCCTGCGGGGGGAACCACGATCGGGGCTCCTGCTGCTTCCCCCAGGCCTTCCAGAGCCTTCCAGCCGGGAGTTCCGGAGCTTTTCCACGGTTCCCCTGCCCTGCCTCCTCCCCTTCCTCCCCCCACGGCGACGGGTGAAAAAAGGAGGAAATGGAAGGTGCAGAAGCAGGAAAAAAGAGGGAGGTTACCAGGCCGGATCCCGCGGGGCCCAGCAGCGCGCGGAAGTCGGCGGAGTCCGTGCGGCGCTTCGGCTGCCGGGAGGAAGAGGAGGAAGAGGAGAGGGAAAGGGAGGAGGAAGAGGGAGGAGGAAGAGAAAAGCAGAGAATCCGTTAGAGGAGAAAAACGGCCCAGGAAAGGATGGAGGGAAAGGGAGGAAGGAGAGGGAGGAAGGAAGGAAGGAAGGAAGGAAGGAGAGGAACGAAGGAAGGAAGGAAGGAAGGAAGGAAGGAAGGAAGGGAGATGGAGGGAGGAAGGGCGGAAGGGAGGGAGGAAGGAAGGAAGGAAGGAAGGAAGGAAGGAAGGAAGGAAGGAAGGAAGGAAGGAAGGAAGGAAGGAAGGAAGGAAGGAAGGAAGGAAGGAAGGAAGGAAGGAAGGGAGATGGAGGGAGGAAGGACGGAAGGGAGGGAGGAAGGAGAGGAAGGAAGGAGGAAGAGGAGGAGGAGGAGGAAGCAGGCAGTACCTGCCGGTCGTTCTCGACGTCGTAGCCCAGACTGATCAAGCAGGCCTTGAACTCCTCCGGGCCCAGGGCACCGCCGTGGTCCTGGGCAAACGGGGGAAAATGGGGGAAATGAGGGAAATGAGGGAAACCGGGAGGCAACTCCCCCATTCCAGGGGGGAACAACCCGTGGGGCTGCTGCGGGTGGGATCCCAGATCCCCCCGGATCCCCCCGGATCCCCCGGGATCCCGACCTTGTCGAAGTGGTTGAAGGAGGCGCGGAACTCCTGCATCTGCTCCTGGCTGATGCCCTTGGCGTCGCGGGTCAGGATCTGGTTCTCCACCTCGTTGATGGTCCGGGCGATCGTGGTCAGCAGCTGCTCCCAGCCCACGCGCAGGTGCTGGAGCGAAGGGGAGCGGGGCAGTGAGGGGCACACGAGCGCCCCGATCCCCTGGGCTGGGACCCCGCGCCCACGGGATTGTCCTGATCCCCACAGGAGGGATCCTGTGCCCACGGGATCGTCCTGATCCCCATGGGATGGATCCAGCGCCCACGGGATCATCCTGATCCTCACGGGATGGATCCAGCGCCCACGGGATCGTCCTGATCCCCACGGGATGGATCCAGTGCCCATGGGATCATCCTGATCCCCACAGGAGGGATCCAGCACCCACGGGATCATCCTGATCCCCACGGGAGGGATCCAGCACCCACGGGATCACCCTGATCCCCACAGGAGGGATCCAGCGCCCATGGGATCGTCCTGATCCCCACAGGATGGATCCAGCGCCCATGGGATCGTCCTGATCCCCACGGGATGGATCCAGCACCCATGGGATCGTCCTGATCCCCACAGCAGGGATCCAGCACCCACGGGATCGTCCTGATCCCCACAGGATGGATCCAGCGCCCATGGGATCGTCCTGATCCCCACAGGATGGATCCAGCACCCACGGGATCACCCTGATCCCCATGGGAGGGATCCAGCACCCATGGGATCGTCCTGATCCCCACAGGAGGGATCCAGCGCCCACGGGATCGTCCTGATCCCCACAGGATGGATCCAGCACCCACGGGATCACCCTGATCCCCACAGGAGGGATCCAGCACCCACGGGATCACCCTGATCCCCATGGGAGGGATCCAGCACCCATGGGATCGTCCTGATCCCCACAGGATGGATCCAGCACCCACGGGATCACCCTGATCCCCACAGGAGGGATCCAGCACCCACGGGATCGTCCTGATCCCCACAGGAGGGATCCAGCACCCACGGGATCACCCTGATCCCCACGGGAGGGATCCAGCACCCATGGGATCGTCCTGATCCCCTGGGATGACCCCAACTCTGTGGGATCCCAGCTCCACGTGCAGCTGGATTCCCAGCTGTGGAGGATCAGGGTCTGCTGCCCACCCTGAGACCCCCAAATCCCTGTGGGACCCCTCCCCAGTCCCAGTCCCTTGGTGACCCCAAATCCCCTCAGGACAACCCCAAATCCCCTCAGGATGACCCCAAATCCCCTCGG